TCTATGCATTAATCCTCTGTCTTAATCTTCTGGTCAGAAGAGGAGGATCACTGGAGATCCAGAGAAGGTTAATCTCCCTCCCTGGCTCCTTCTTGCTCAACTTTCCAGCTACCATAGGTCGAATATCTTTGCTCCCTGCAGATCCTTCTACCTTGCCACTATGTGTTTAACCCTGCTGAACGTGGACTGAAACTTCTAAGTCACAAGGCAAAATACACCTCTCCTCCTTTATGTTGTGCATGTCAGGTATTGTGCCCCAGCAACAGGGAAGTGACTACGGCACTACTCTGATCTACACTATGCTTCTACTGGGGAGCAGAACCCTGGAACTTCCTAGTATACATTTCTGTGGACATCATTCTCCGAGGGAACATCCCGAATTTAGAGGCTCTTGAGGTCATTTGTTTTTACATTAGAGATAGGTTAGGATGAAAGACAAATTGCTTTATGAGTGAACTTTTTGTAAAAGATTTTGTAATCTTTTCTAGTCTAATAAATGGTTGGGAGGCCATTTAAATCATATTATTTTTACAAAATTCAAAGCATCCAAATCCCAGCAGATATGTAATGTATAGGCTTTTCACATTCATGCTTCTCTTATCTCACTACACCGGTGTCTTAAATCATTCAGCTAAAACATATACCCTGTGACCAAATGGACAACACCACACACTACTCTATGAAGGTAAACTTTTCTGACTATGGAAAGCTAATGTTTTTTTCTCCACATCACTGGTCATCTTTGAATGTACTTTTTAATTTATTGATTTTTGTGTTCATGGCTTCTATCTCCACTATAATGTAAGACTCATGGCAATAGAGATGTGTCTATATTGTTTCCTGCTTTACTTCAAGAAGCTAGAATGCTTTAAAAGTAGAATACCTCAAAATATTTGTTTTACTGAGCTGGACTTACTGACACATGAGGCCACTCCCAGAAAAAGACCTACAAGTAGATTTCTGTTGTGAGTAGTCCAAAAGAGCAGAATGCTGTTTCAGTTTTACTTACTATGCTTTTGCTAGCATCAAGATCACTGGCTAGATCATATTAGCACATGATAAATATCTGTGAAATCATTGCATGAAAGAGTATTTGGAAATTGTACAAGCTAATTTACTTCATTAACATATGAGAGGAGGAAAACCAGAAATGTGTCAACAAAGAAATTATACTTCATAATAAGGGACCTATTGTAGCACTCAGAAGCACTACGCATGTTTGTTTATTTCATTTTCCCAGAAATCCTTGAGGGAAGTATTACTTTCTTTATTTTGATGATAAAGCGACAGAAGAGTGGAGAAATAAGTAACTGACCAAACTACACACCTGGTAAGTGTCTGAGTCTAACATTTCAGCACAGTAGCCCAGGTTCAGTGTTTATGCATCCAACCACTGCACAATACTGCCTTTCTGGAAAACTTTCAGCAGTTCATCCTAAAGAAACTCCAAGTTATCAGGTAGTTTATCAGGAGGGAAATACTAGAATTTACGAGCTAACATTCTTCCCAATGATAAAATGCTGAAACTATCTCTGTTAAAATTTTCTAAATGAGGAGAACACTTGGTATTATTACTCTCTTCAACATTGTTATAGGTGCCTTTATATAGGGAACAGGGAAAGGGGACATTACTAGAACCTCTGCAGTAAGTCCTAGTCTCCTGGGAGCCATGGCAGCACAAGGTGAATTACATGAAAGGTAGAAAAATGAGACTGAGAAGAAGCTGAGCTTTGGGTCTGATCAGTGCTGCTCTGGGCAGCAAAGACGAAAGCCCCAAGCTTGCCGCACCTTTTATTCAGTACATGGGGAGAAACAAATGTAGCAAATGACTTGCAGAGAGTTCAGTACATCCTGCGAAAACAAGATGTAACAATCCAAGAACAAGGAGGAACTGAGTAGATGTTTGTCCCTCCCAGGATGTTTTCAGCTCCCAGGATGTTTCTTGTCCTGGAGAATCACAGACAGCATCACCGGATCATTGAGTTCTCAGTTGTGACTGGAGGCCAAAATGCAATTATGCCTCGGAATTCCATAGCTGGGCTGTAGGCAGGAGAACTAGGCTAACCAAATGATTTTTCCCTAAAATTATGTAGCATTGCTCCAGACACCTTTATATTGAAGGTCAAGAAAAAAATTCAACTAATAGCTCTTCTGAATCTATATCCCTTGAATCTGCCAGGAGTTTCCAAGCATGCCACCATCCTTCTGACCACTGGCCTATACACAAATACATGAGTTCTCACTCAACATTGTCTCTTGCATAAAGTGATGATAGAGGCACCACATGACTCCTTGGACTGAGGGGTTTTTCCTCATTACCACAGGGATTCATTTATCCTTCAAACAGAGCATTATACAGGAAAGAGCATAAAACATGCAGGCAGAAAATCCTTTAGATAGTTCCAGGCTCATGCATTTGCTAGTACAGGTGACTCTGGGGAAGCTGCTTCATAAACATGAACGTCATCTCCATTAGGAGGATAAGGATACAAACACACTCTAGACTGGGTTGTTGTGGTGAGGAAACAAAATCATGCAGGAAAAGATCACACAGTGCCTGGCTTATGGCCTACTTCTTCTAGCCTACTTCTTCTAGCCAATACCATGTAGTGGGTTTCTGTCCTGCTTTTCACACACATACAGTATACAACGAAGGAAAACAAGGTTATGAGACCTTATCCTGTTTTGACATATGATGTTGTTTGGAAGCATCTTCACATCTACAGGTAAATCCTGTCTTTAAGGAAAGGTTGGTATAGCCTTGTGAGACTTGGCTGCCTTTGATCTGGAAGAGAATAAAGTACTGTTTCAGGTACACTTTCAGGCCACTTTGTGATAGAGTAAGAAATAATTTTTATGTCTAGAGAGGAGAGTTAGGACTGCAGGCAGGAAGTGGGAAGGCTCATAGAACTAGATTTCTCTAAAGCAGGTCTGTCTTTGGCTTAAATCCTAGTGCCTGCTAGAGGAACAGGTATAATGTTAACACAAGTTCGCACTTCCTGGGTTTATATTCTCCAGTGATTTCTGCTAAGCATGAGATTTAATTCAAAAAAAATTATGTCCTTTATGGAAGGTGCGAGATATTTCTTGATTGCTTACTATGTGCCATATTCTTTACATAGAAAAACACTGTAAAACACTGTAAAATGATTACATCCAGGAGGCCAGTTATAGGGGGATCATCACTCAGTTTTTGCCTGTTGTGTAGTTCTGATTTTTAAGATGAAAGTGAAGATCATGTGCTCATGTGTACATCTAAGATTGATTTTTCAGTGAGTAAATACAGGTATCCCTAATCTGGAGTCATATGCTAGGGAATATTCAATGGCTATTTGGTATGGGAACATTTGATTGCTATAATCACAAGAGAATGAGAATGATCTCAGCTTTACATGTGTTAAATCAAAGACTACTACTATGTTTATGAGCTAGTAGCTCCAAGTAGTCATCACCTACAGAGGAAGATTTCTATCAGAAGCCCATATCACCATGAAATTTATATCTATTGAGCAAACTGCTAAGGGATGGTTAATTTTGAATAAAAGATTGAGAGGAGGATTTAACAGTTCACTTGTGAAAGACAGTGATCTGTATTAGATCTCTCCAAACAAACAGAATTAATCGAGAGAGAGAGAGAGAGAGAGAGAGATTCTTTAAGGTATTGATTCATATGAATTGAGTGGGCTGTCAAATCCAAAATATGCTGGGGAGACTGGAAGGCTGGCAGACTGGAGACAGGGAAGAGTTGACGTTCTAGTCTGAATGCAGACTGGAGGCAGAATTCCTTCTTATCTGGGAAATACCAGTGCTTCTCTCTACTAAGACCTTCAGCTCAGTGGTGGAGGCCTACCCACATTATACAGAGTGTTCTACTTGCTGAATCTACTCATTCAAATGTTAATATCATCTAAAAAATATGTTCACCAAATATCTGAGTGCTGAGGTCTTGCCAAGTTGATACAAAGGTAGTCATCACATGGTCCCGTATATTGTATCAACACTGATGGATATTTCCTTTGTGTTCACACCTGTTATGCACACACATGTATACTAGATTAAAATTAAGAAACATTAAGAGGGAGCAAGTATTCACTATGGATACTCCGCAGTGGAAAGAAACAACCAGCAAACTGACACTGCTATAGTTTGCATCTTGCATGTCTCCCAAAGGCCCATGCATTAAAGGCATGGTCCATAGTTTGCTTCTACTGGGAGGTGGTGGAACACCATGAGGTGGGATCTGGTGGGAGGTTTTAGGTCACTGGGGATGTTCTCTCAAAGGGTGTTATGGAGTCTCAGCTTCTTGGTCCCTTTCTTACTTCCTGGTCATGAGGTATGTCAAGTGATTTTGCTCTGAAACACATTCTCACCATGTTGTGCTGCCTCATCACAAGGCCAAGACAATGGACAAACTCGATCACAACCTAAAATGTCCAAAGCTGTGAGCCAAAACACATAAGAAATTATTTACATGCCTAGAGACAGCAGGCAGGAAGTGGGAAGGCTCCTCAAGCTAGATTCCTCTAAAGCAGGTCCGTCTTCAGCTTCAAGGTGTCACCTTCTCCCTGTATAAGTTAATTATTTCAGGTAATTAGTTATGGCACTATGAAGCTAACTAACACAAATATATAAAGTAGATAGGAGAGGGGTAGTGATTTTGAGTAGGAATCCTGTGACACGGATATTTATTTGAACCAAACATTCAAATATTTGAGAAGAATAGCCTTGTGTCCCATTGGTACACTTAAGTCTCTATTGTGTTATCTTTTGCTGATGGTGAATGCATTTGAATTTCATTCCCTTCTGTAAACACAGCAGGCTTTCCTAGATGAAATCTCTTTATGTTTCACATTTTAAAGTGTGTGGCAGGGTTACACATTATTCCATCATAGATAGAGCCAGGAAAAAGTGCAATACTAAATCAAGACCTTAATATTAGCATAAAGTCTTCCATAGTGACCCACATCTAATGACAGTCACTGCTGTCTTCTCCAGAAGTCCCATTATGATGCAATGATCTTCTACAGCCAATAAGAAGCAGGCAGAATGGAATCAGAGTAACTCAGAAATTTTGAGAAAGTGGAGGCAGCAGTCATCTCTGAGGAGAAAGGTGGGGGGTAGGTATGAAAATAACAGAATTGTTTTGAAGTTTATTAGTGGGATACATACACCTACAGGTCCATTCCACAACCCACTGAGCCACACACGTTCTTCCTTGAATACAAAAGAACATGGGAGGTTTGGGACATATTTGTTTATGGGAGCTGTGGATTTGGGTGTGTTGAGCTTAGAGAAGGGTGGGGGTGAAACATGAGGTACAGAAATTAGGTGAAATTCAGAACTCAGAAAGTAAACTAGACCAGGCCACGCTATACAACTGTCTCAGCTGCTGGAGAAGTCACAGGCGTCTAACACACTATATGCAGGGATCTCTGTTTTGATCATTCTGTCTTCCCAACTTATGAGCCCTGTCTGATCTTCTAAAAAGCCTTGGGTTAAATCGATGACTATCTTGGGTTCATTTACCAAACTAATATACACCGAATCTTACCCTGAAACATTTTCAGGTCTTTGCAGGATTTGCAGAGAGAAACAACCAGCCTAGGCATCAGCTGACACTTCTGAAATGGCCACTGTAATATCCAAACCCTATCAAGGGGTCAAAAGAGACTTGAGGTGTCACGGACCTGGCACACCTCCTAGAGAAGGAAGTGACAGGTTCACATTAGAAGAGCACTGATTTCATGAATTTTGACCTTCCTGTTCAGTTTCTCTCAGACCCATGCAAGAGATCAGGAAAGGGTTAGCTGGCTGTGCCTACTAATCATCATGACTAGAAACAGTGAAGACATTGGTATGAAATCACTGCCAGAGGGCCCAGACCCTAGATAAGACAAGAGGCTTCAGGGGAGGACCCATCTCTACATTCAAGGTTGTCACAGTTACCTAATTGCTAACAGTTGTTCCTTGAGACGATGGTCTTTGGCTGGAAATTGCGAATACTGGTTATGTTGACTATCTATCTATCTATCTATCTATCTATCTATCTGTCTATCTATCTGTCTGTCTATCTATCTATCTATGGTATTCTCATGATTTCTAAAGCATTTTCTTCTCTTCTAACATCTATAATATGTAGCATTTTTGTTTAAAATAGTCTTGACTTGATAGGAAGAAGGCAAGTAAATGATTTTATTTTCCAAGTACCTTGTAGAAGATTTTTATCTTATACTGTATCTACATGGTAGTCTCAATGTATATGTATAAAGGCTTATTGCACAAAACACATGCACATACTATTGAATGACAGTGAGGCAATAGAAGAGAAGTTGTATTACTGAAAGGTATAACTAAGATGATTTTTGTTTACTTATTATTTTTCCTTTAGTGTCTGTGGTTTAGCGGACCAAACTTCTCTTTGTCAAGAATAAAGGATAGTAATTCTTCATGAAAATGTAAAATGTGCTTAAAATAAAAACCACCTTTCCTCACCTATCAGAAATGTGCAAATTAAATTTTTCCTTTTTATTAGAAAAGTATCAAAAATTTTGATAGGAATGTACAAATCATCTATTTGCCCTCTTCAACATATACCAAAAACAAATTGCTCTTAAGATATTAGTATGCTTTCTTTTTTCTGCCATGCACCTATAAAAGACTCAGAGTTTGAATATTAAGCAATATCTTAACTATGATACACACTCAGATTCATAATGTGATTTTTTTTAAAGTTACATTGATTCTCCCCCAAAAGTTAAGTGGTTATTATAAAACCACTCACTGAAATGTAATTGAAAGTGTATTATTTATCATTTCACAAATGCTTGCGTGACTTTGTTACTGTTTCTTGTATTTTGTTTCTATTAACAGGCTTTGTGCCAAGAGGAGTACACATTTACATACAGTAATGTGAGGATGGTATCCCAATTCTTTTTGTAGCTAGTTACAGGGTCTAGATGGTGTGATGCTGCTTTATTTAACATGTATAGTTTGTGATCAATTGTGCCCTGAAATCTCCCATCTCTTGACTTTGATTGCAATCTTCTGGCTAGAGCATTCTGTTGCTCTTCACTTTCTTGGCTTGTTAGAACCCAAACACAATATAGGAAATAAAATTGGCAGACAAAAAGCACATAGAAATAAATAAAAGTGGGGATGACTTAATCATTATCTTGTATTTCAGGAGCTGGAGCAAGAGGATTTCCGCGTAATTCATGGACCTCTAAGGTATAAAGTTAAAGGCGGAGATGGAAGACTACAATGAGTAAACTGAGGATTTTGTCTTTTAACTTAGGATGTGGTGTTTTATTGTTTTTATTCATGGCATTTTTTTCCTTACATGTTGTATGACCTGGAATTTGAAGTTGTGTACTTGTTGTAACAGTGGATGAGAGAAAAAGCCAAACAGGATAGTTCGTCATTTTCTCCTTTTAACTTATTTTGTTGGAGGAAAATGGCATGTCATTGTTTTAACACAAGGTCAGCTTTGTTATCCAGCTGAATATGTTTTTTAAATTGTGGAGATTCTTTATGTGGACTGAAAGGAATGGAATGGTTACAGGCCCGCACTGTGAAAGGTCAGCAGTTGGATAGGCCAAGATCAGCAGTGCCAGTTTGGTTACTGTCCAGGAGACACTGGAAGTGGATCAGAGAGTAGCAACTGAACCAGACAAGGTCAAAGAGTGAAGGGTTTAGATAGAGATCTTGTATATGTAACATGGTACAAACGAGTAGGGAAAGGGTGATATTTATTACTGCCTAGAAAGGAAAGACATCAAGAATAGGCAATCAATATAAGAAAAAACTCAGCATACCTGCAAAAATTGTTCAGCCTCCATAATTCCCTAAAACATTTAAATTAGTACAATAGAAAACAGACTTTTTGCTTTCAAAGTGACAGACTGACACATGGTGAGCACGAAATAAAACTGACAAATAACAAAAAGGGCTGTCTGGCAATGGCATCTTAGATCATTTGAAGAGATCTGGGAAGCCTCCCTAAATGATCTCTAACAATGACTTATTTTACCATCATATTACTCGGTTTGCTACAGACACCACAATTATCAAAAACATTTTCTTTATTTTAATAGAGAAACTGTCCTTTCTGAGCCTTTTTTCTGAGCTACTGGAAATACTGCAAAGACTTTTCCTGTTTAAAGTGTGGAAATAGGATGATCTTGAATGTAGTAATTAGATTATTGTTTGTAAGACTAGACAGTGAGAACGCATACTATACTGTCTAGATTGTATTTTGTAACAACTCGTTCGTAGTAAAAGTAACCCAGGCTCAAACAGACGGGAATTTTCCTAGTTCAAGGACTTGATGCTGATGGCAGAGAGGTAAGAAGGGAACAGATATTCCTACCTTAATTCAGAAACCGTGTACTAGACCCTGTACACATACTGGAGCATTTCTGAAGGAAGGATCCTGAGAGTGCTTCTCATGGATGAATGAAGAAACACTGACTGACCTGATAGGAACTATTAGAATGAGGTGACAAGATTTCCTTTCTTTCTGCAGGCCACCAACGATCAAACTGAGGAACGCTTTGGCCTTTGTTTCCTTGACTGATACCATGCAGAACCAAGTTGAAGACAATGACTTGTCAGAGCAACTTGCTCTCCATGAGTCTTGGAAGACCCCATTCAGGAGAATTAATCATCGTTTCACAAGATGGTTTAGGTAAAAACTATTTTCCAACATCAAATCCTCTGATTTCTCTCCTCTGAATTTGCTTCCCTTCCTGAATGCCCAGGTCTAATTCCAAGGTTTGCCCAGGAAAAGCTGATCCTTTCCCTTCCTTTGTAGGAGAAATTCCATGGTTTAATATCATGCATGCTGCAAACACAGACCCATGAACGGATACAATGACATCTCCACAATCATCTTTTCCTCCTTTTTTGTGTTATTCTATTGGTTGTTGTCTAATAAAGGCTTGCGTGCTTGCTTATTTTTGCTTCATCATATATGCTTATTCTCACAGGGAGCAACTTCAGGTGGAATAGAGATTGTTAGAGTTGCTAGGAGTCTGGAATTTACTAGAGAGAATGTCACTTTACTTAGCCCTATGAACAGGAATATCACTGATCGACAGTGTGTTTTTCCCCCCACAGATGTTGGCTCTTACCCTGAGAGAGATCACTATATAGGAGAATTGAGAAGAAATCACATACCTCTCTTTAGCCCTCAGCTTTCTAAATATACTAAAGCCTCTTATAGAAGGCAAATGAGTGGTAATTTGAGGGGGGCATTGGGAGGGAAGTTGTCTCATGATCCCAGAAAAAGGATTTAAATCTTATTACAATCAGCTGACAAGTATCACCACCCTCCCCTTGGACAGAATCCTATCAACACAGCACCCTAGCCCCAGTACAAATTGTTCTTGCTGGTATGAGGATGATTTTTCTTTTCCTCAATATCTTTGATAGGTAATAAAACATAATATTTTCCCAGAAAACAGAAGAGTTTTAAATCATGGTTGACCCTAAGTCCCACACACATGGGGCAGAATTTGTTTTAGGACTTTACATCCTGTTCCAGTAAACCAATAGTATTATTGACTAGGAAATATTAAAAAACAACTTTCAGAACAATTGGAATTGTAGGTTAAGATAAGCACTATGATAAACAACTCCTTTATCACAGTCTGTTTCTTCCACTCTATCCCATGAGGTAAGCAACACAAAAGCTGACAACACAATTGGTCACTTGGTATGTACAAATCAATAAATGGTGATTCTTCTAATTTGGGGAGCAAGGAGTAAATCCAGTGAAAAAAACTAGTGAAAACCACAAACATTCTCTGTTGAATAATTCTTAGGAAGCTCACAATACTTTGCGTGGAATTCTATCAATGAATTCTATATTAACTACTTTTCTGTCACTGGGATAAAATATCCAACACTTACAATGGGAAGATGGAGGAAATTATTTTGGTTCACAGTTTTTAGAGGATTTAGCCCATGGTTGGTTGTCTTCGAGGCAGAAATGGCACAGTGAACGGACATGGAGGAGGAAGCTGTTCAACCCATGGTAGCCGGGAAGCAGAGAGAAAAGGGAAGAGCTAAGGACAGGAATGCGCCCTTCTAGGTCATGGCACCAGCGAGCCACCTCCAAGCAGATCCCAGCTCCTAACAGCACATTCCACTACTGTACTCAACACCTGGTTGGTCAGTCCACTGGTGAGTTTAGCACCTCCATGATCCAGTCACCTTACAAACACATGACATTGGTGGACATTTTAGATTTAAACCATAATGAATCCAATCAACATACAGTATAATATAATCCCAATAATATTGTCAATATTATGAGAAAATAGAGGAGAGAACATATAGTAGTTCATTTTATGATGCCAGAATTACCCTGATGATATAATTAACAAAGACATTAAAAGAAAACAAAAGTACAGATAAATTCCACTTATTGGCAGTGGTGCAAAAGTTCTTGGCAAAATATTATCAAATTGAATTCAATGTTGCATGAAATAGATAATACACTCTAAACAAGTAAACTTTAATTCAGAAGGCAACATTAGCTTAATATTGAAAAATAAGTCAATATGAAAAATTTTAGCTCTACAAAGATGAACAAAACCCTAAACAGTGCTAATATTCATACCATGGAAAACTATTCAGAAATAAAAATTAGATGAACTATTGATGCACATAACAACCTGGATTTATCTCAAGTATTTTATGTACAATGAAAATAAAATTATTCTCAAAAGATCTCATGTAGGTCCAGGGATTTAGCTCAGTGGTGCCACTGCCTGCCTCGCAAGTGCAATATCCTGAGTTCAACCCCTGGTACCAAAAAAAAAAAACACACAAAAAAACGATCTCATGCTGTGTGATTTCATGTACTTACCTTTCTTGAAATGACAAAATGATCTTACTAGGGTGTATTTGTGAAGTAAGGGACAGAGAAGTGGACATGCATATAAAAGAACAACTGAGGGAGTCCTGCTGAAAACACCGAATCAGCCCACTGCAGACAGACAGGTCTGCGGACATGGTCCCGAGGTCTCAGCTCTTGCTGAAAACACCGAATTAGCCCATGCCCTGGCAGAAAACCACTGGAAACCCCCACCCCCACTCCTTTGGCCTTTTCTCTGTACAGCCACCTGGATCCACACTACAAAGATGCAGAGGACACCAGACCACCAGACCACTGTACTGGAGCTAATCAAGTTCTCAGCATTTAAAGAATTCCTGCCCAGAGGTATGGGCTTCTGAGCTGCCATCTCACTGCTCCTGGTCCAGAGGAAGGGGCTTCCAGGCTGCCAACCATCCTGCTACTCCTGGCCCAGAGGAAGGGGCTCTCCAGCCGCCATCCCTACCACTGCTCCTGGCCCCTGGCCCACCTCTCCCAGCTCAGAGGAGGTGAGCCATGCAGGTGCCAACAGCAGCCCGCCCCGCCCCCCCAGTTGAAATGAGAAAACACATAAATAAGTCTCAAAACCAGACTTCCAAATCACCTACAGCAACCCTAAAGAGAAATGAGATGGAATACTCTGGGAGTCAACCACCTGGACTCACTGACCTGGCAACAAAAGGGGATCTGAAAAAAATGAAATCAGAAATAATTTCTCAGATAACAGAAGAGATTGTGCTCCTAGTGCAAGACATGATTAATAAACCTAGAGAGGAGCTCAGGAACATGATGGAACCCCAACATAAGAAACAAATGGAATCCATCAAACAGATGCAAATAGATTTCCAGGAGATGAAAAACTCCACTGAAAGTCTACACAGCAGAATGAGCCAATGTGAGGACAGAATTT